CTGGCACATCCGCCCAGCCACGAGGAAATCTCCCGTAACTAAAGCCGCTGCAGGGTCGTGAGTTTTGTATTCCTTGCACCACAGCGGCACGTGCTGGGCTCAGGCATCAGTCCTCTGCCGACACGCGGCTCGCGGCGCGTTACGACGTGTGGTCGCCGAAGCGGCACAGCCACAACGCGGTCTCTTGGAAACTCTCACAGTCCACGAATCCTCAAACAACACCAAAATCGTCAAAGGAATTTTTTATCTTCAGCTACTGATCTGTTCATTTTTGGTTTTTTCCCCCTATGGATTTTGTAGACTTGAACCACAGGGGTCCTTGATTTTTCTGAAGATTCAATAACTTTGCCAAGAACAAATGTCCTTGTGTCAAGTTCAGCCAAAAACATTAACAGGCCACAGTCACCAGCACAAACGACTGCAGTCCCTCACTGCATAGATCAGCAACAAAATGCTCCTGCCTAGCTTTATGAGCCCTGCTAGCAAGAAAATCACCTGCCGTGCTCCCTGTATTTGTACAGCTCGTAGCAGCAGCAAGCCTTTCGATCTGAAATGTTACAAAGCCGGTTTCTGTTTATTTATAGGTTTTTCCAGAGAGCTGAGTGAAGAAGAACAAATAATAGAATAATCGGGGGAAAGGTAGGCTTTTCTTCCTCATATAACCCTTCAATTAAGTTTTCTCCTCTGATGCAGGTTCTCAGTCACTTTTACACAGGAGGTTATATTCAATGAAAATAATACCACTATTGCTTTACTACATAACATATAATCCAGTGTTCTTTTTTTCTCCTCCAAAAATGCCTGATGGTCCAAATTAAACCATTTCTTAGCTTTCATCCTAAGGCTTTAAGGTATTTTCTTCCCCTCCTTGCCTATCTCATTTCTAAATAACTAAGAGGACACTTTACAGATAAAGAAGAGCACTGATTTGGAAGGAGCCCTGCTCCTGAAGCATCATCAGTTCTCAAAAATCAGGTTTGAACTGCTTACCCTTGGACACAGAAACACTGGCTAATTTCAAAGATGCTGGCTGGTCTAGCTGTGAGACTTGCATCATCTCCTTGACTTTTACCTGTTTACAGAAGCTTCTTTCCATGGCAACTTCTTATATCAGATACAAAATCTGAACCCCACTGTCCCCTTGGCATGGTCAGGGCAGAGCTAATACTCTGGCCAGCTTAAAAAAATTTACTGAAGCTGCCACTCAGTCCTCCTGCACCTGAATGCAGAATTTCAATGTGAATATTTTTTTTGTTTAGCATGCACCTCTTAGTTTTGGGTGGGTTTTTTCCCTCTTTTATTTTTTGATAAGCCGAGAAAGTGTTTGGTGATTTGACTCACATAAAAACTTCTGTAGTGGCAAATTAAAAGAAGCGTTTTATCTAAGATACTGACAAGAAACATCTAGAAGATAGAACTAAACTTGCTCTTCTTTGAAACTGAAAAAATAGATAAGAGACATGATAGCAACTTTTATTTTGATGCGTAGAAGTGATCCAAAAAGACTCTGGGATTGAGGCTCTGAAAATATGAAGTACAAATTTAAAGAAGTGATGTGTAGGCTTTTATGAGAAGACAAAAAAATACGCAATTCAGTAACAAGTTTGCAGTTAAGTGGCTGGACGAGCGCTCTTCTTTTTTAAAAATACGGTTCGTGGGAACGGAAAATTCTTGACAAATCTGAGAGACAAAGAAGTGTTCTCTGTGATGAAAAAAGTATTTTACGTTAAAATAAATTAGAATTTGATAAACAGGACAGCGAATTTCCCCTTAGGCCCTTCAGTAAAATCGAAATTCAACAGTTATCCTAGCTAAGACTACTTTTGGGGACAGAAATGTTATTTCACTGTGGAACTTTGAATAAAACACCACTGCTTCTGAAGGACTCTAAAACACTAATTTCCACCACTTGTGCTTCGAGGAATTTCCAGGGAGTATTTTTCCCGCCAATCCCAGTATGTAAAGCCTCGTAGAACTGAATTTGAAGTGCGGCGGTGCTTTTTGTTGACATGAGTAATTGCTGGAGATGCTGTTACGTTCTGCGTATGGGTGCACTGTGTAACCTGTGTACAAAAACACTCCATGTCACCTTGCAGCATCAAGCTGCAGGGGTGCGGAGCGCTCCTGAGAGGCAGCTGTTCCAGTCACCGCTTTGCCACACAGACCCCCGGGTGCGGACGTGGGCGGCCCT